GATTGTTTTCGGGATGGACTAACAGGTAGGTGGGACAAAAGGTTGGCACAGTCACCACCCATTTCTTGGACCCCCTATAAAAGGGAAGGACCATTCACCTGGCCCTTCCTTGCTAGCAATCCCCGCAACACCCCCTATCTGGTTTTATTCCCCTTGAGTCCCACTTGCTATCCCCAACCCTTGCCTCTACTGCCCACGTGTTCTGGCTGGTTCTGGCCGTGTGTGAATTCCCTTTGTTTCCATTTCTTCCCCTCCATTCGTCCTCGGAACAACCAAGCTTCAAGACAGATAAGTATCGCCCGTCATCACCCCTACCTGCTAATGCAACTGTGCTTATTTCCTACTGTAACTCTTAGAAACTTGATTGAATGTGTGAGTGCATCAGTATTGTTTGTATGAGATATATTTTAAAGTAAAAGACATCTATTTTAACCACAACAGCCTCGAATCCTTTACTGGTAACCCTTGGTGGGATCAGGACCTTGGTATAAATTGGCAAGAACCCATTTATAAATTGCCAATTGCTGCAAATAAAGCAATTCGGCTAACACAGGGATGAATTGTTGAAGGAGAAAAAATACCCCATTGGGTTGCTTTGGAGCAATCACAGACCAGTCTGTTGCCATAGACAGCATTGAAAGAGGCATCCTTAGTCTGATGATCCATCTTCTGTGAACCTTAGATGTTCTCTGCAAACAGAAACTTTGGTTCTTACTGGAATTTCAGCTTGACTTTATGAACTGTTTCACACTACTCTATCAAAATGTTCAGTGTCCTATCTGTAGGAAGGTTGCACACATGCATACACCACCATGTTCTATTCTGAATATCTGTCAACTTGTATTTTAAGAACATAAGAGACGCCAATGTTGGATCAGGCCAAAGGCCCATCCAGTCCAACACTCCGTATCACACAGTGGCCAGAAATACCAGTGCCATCAGGAGGTCCACCAGTGGGGCCAGGACATTAGAAGCCCTCCCACTGTTGACCCCCCCAAGCACCAAGAAGACAGAGCATCACTTGCCCCAGAGTCCCTATCTGTACCTTGTGGCTAATAGCCACTGATGAACCTCTGCTCCATATGCTTATCTAATTCCCTTTTGAAACCGTCCATGCATGTAGCCGCCACCACTTTTGAGGGAGTGTGGTGAAAAAGGCATATATGCATTCTTTATATAACACAGTGAGTGTGTATTTTATAATTGGCTTATATGTACTTGTGTAAAAGAGGACAAGTGAAAACTCAGCCCTTAGTGTTGTGTACTGGGTTCGATGTGTAGAGAAGACATACGCTCAGTGATTAATAGCTCATATTTACTGGTACACAACACAACAACCAATACCAGCCAGGGCGGCCAACTATATACAGTCCCGAGGGCACACCCACCAGTCCCATTGGAAGGTTTGAACTTCCCGCCACAGTTCCGATAGGTGCTAACTTGGAGGTTCAGGATCCTAGTCCCTATTGTTCTTATGGAGCCAAGCTTGGGTTGCATACCGCTGGTGCCTAGTGGGGTCAGCAGACATAACAGTCTGATGTATGAACTAATTTCAGTGTGATCTGTGACAAGGGAACCACCTTGGACCACAAAGTGCTGTACAATGAGAAAGCATCCAGGTTGACTGGGAAAAACAACTGGAAGAAATTTAAGGTGCCAGGTACAGAAAAGGTACAGAAAATCAGAACTGAGGTACAGAAAAGGTGAACATCGAAAAAGTAATCAGCACACTGCTGATAAACAGGATGGGATGAAGAAATTAGTCTGATTTGAGAAGCAACACTAAGAAGGAAAGGTAAAGCTACCTAGTAAGGTAAAACTCTAATATGCTTATCAGGGTTAAGGAGACAGATGTATATAAATGTTCCCTAATGTCTGATCAGACATAAGCATCCAAACCCATAGTGATACATACAGTATTGGAAACAGCATTTCACTTACCAAGTATAAGAAATGGTGCATTTGCCGCTGTAATGACAAAGGGTACCCCACAGAAGAGCAACAATCCAAAGCTGCTGAGAACGGCCAAGCCTGACGACAGCACCCCAAATGATGCAGCCCACACTTTTGTTAGTACACAGTCGAGCCTGTAAAAACAGGTACTTTTTGAACAAAGCTAGAGTAATGCTGTTGAAGATGAAAGGCCCTTTCCACAATCACAAGAAATGGAAATGTCATTAATCTTATTGATGGAACCTCATATTTGAATAAAGTAATGATGTTGCTCTAGACAGCGAAAACATTGCCTCTTGAGACACACATTGGTCTTTACTCATTTAATATACTTTCTGTTTTGATATTATTATGAACACCAAATATATAACCCACATACTCCAACAAGTATTCCCACATCCTCTACAATTGCTTAGCCACTTAAATATTCTCCAGCTCTACTTCTTTAACTCCATCGAATGAAGTTTGAGTCCAGTGGCACCTTTCAGACCAACGCAGTTTTATTCAAAGTGTGAGCTTTCATGTGCAAAACACACTTCTTCATAGAAATGGAATAAAATCTCCTCAAGGGTTACTTACAGGAAAGAAGAGGATGGGGGGCAGCTGTTAGGAGCGGCCACTCAGAGCCAAGATGCATATGCAGAGCTGAAATTGGATCAGGTGGCCAGTAAGATCAATGGATAGCAGCAAATTAGCTTGTAAATGCAAGAGTTAACAAAACGATGTCAGAATGAAGCAGTCTTCAAAGGGCTCTCTCAGCCCCACCTACCTCACAGGGTGTCTTGTGGGGAGAGGAAGGGGAGGATTTATACCTCTGCCCTTCACTCAGAGTCTCAGAGCAGCTTACAGTCTCCTTTCATTCTTCTCCCCACAATAGACACTCTGTGAGGTAGGTGGAGCTGAGAGAGCTCTTTGAGAATTGCTCGCAAGGGCGTAGACTTTCCAATTTCGGGGGGGGGGGGGCTAGGGCTGGGCCAGAGGCATTGCCAAGGCAGCAAGAGGCAAGAAGCCTGGGTGAGCTGGGCTCCTCCATGCCTGGCAGAAGATGAGGTGCAGAGGCAAGAGGTGGGCAAGCAGAAGAATCGGCTTCCTGCAGTTCGACCCCATTATAATCTATGGGCCATTGAAGTCAATGGCAAAAACATAGGGTATATTCTGGGGGCTGGAGGGGAGGGGGTTTGAGAGAGAGGCTCCAAAATCACAGGGTAAATGCTGGAGCCTCTCCTCAAGATACCCGCCATGTTTCAGGAACATTGAACCAGGGGGTCCAAATCTATGGGCCCCCAAACAGGTTGCCCCCATCCCCTCCATTGTTCTCTATGGTGGGGAAAAAGTTACTTTCCCCCACCATACAGAACAATGGAGGGGATAGGGGCAACCTTTTGGGGGGCCCGTAGAATTGGACCTCCAGTCCAATGTTCTTCAAACTTGGTTGGTATCTTGAGGAGAGGCTCCAGCAGCTACCCTGTGAGTTTGGAGCCTCTCCCTCAAACCCCCTCCCCTCCAGCCCCCAGAATATACCCTATGTTTTCGCCATTGACTTCAAAGGCCCATAGGATATAATGCGGCCGAAATTGACATTCGGCTGGCCCTTTTTCAAACACGGCCTTCTAGCGCGGAGCCTGAAAAAGGAGGGGAGGGCGGGGGGGCGGCTCTGTAGGCCGTTTTTCAGGCCTGGCGCTCTAACGCGGAGCCTGAAAAAGGCGGGGAGGGCAGCTCAGCAGTGTCCCCCCCCACGGTGGTTGCAGCTGTTGCCAAAAGTGGCAGTGGCCATAACTTTTTAAAGAGCCCCTCTGGACAGCTGGGGGAGCCAGAATGACCTCTCACGCGAGAGGTGGAATTTGCCCCTACCAGTCCAAGGCCACCACCCTGGGGCTCAGGGAGACAAAAGAACGTTTCACCCCGCACACCGCGGGCGTCGCAGCTGCCGCTGAGAACAGCGGCAGCGGCCATAACCTTTTAAAGAGCCCCTAAGGAGAGCTGGGAGAGCCAGAATGACCTCTCGCGTGTGATGTCCAAGTGGCAATGCTGCTTGGACGTCACACCCGAGAGGTGGAATTTGCCCCTACGAGTCCAAGGCCACCACCCCGGTGCTCAGGGAGGAGGGAGAATGTTTCGCCCCGGCCCACCGCCGGCGTCGCAGCTGCCGCCAAGAACAGCGGCGGCCATAACCTTTTAAAGAGCCTTCTGGGAAATTTGGGGGGGGGAAGGCTGGCGCCCCACAACCCCCACGAACTTTACACCGGTGACTGCTCGTGAGTTAACAGCTCTGAGAGAACTGTGGCTTACCCAAGGTCGCCCTGCAGCTGCATGTGGAGGAGTGGGGAATCAAACCCGGTTCTCCCAGTTTACAGTCCACGCTTCTAACACTACACCAAACTGGGTCCCCATTAGGGGCTTACATTGTTCTCCTCTCCTCCATTTTATCCTCACAACAACCACATGATGTAGGCTAGACTGAGAGTGTGTGACTAGTCCAAGGTCACCCAGCAAGCAGTTCTGGTGCTTTGTTTATGATGTCATACGATAAGATTAAGGATGGCTTCTCTACTTTTGTTTCTTTTAAGTTTGTAATGACTATTGTATTTTTTCCTTTCCTTTTTTTGTTATTTTATTTTACTGTTAACAATAAAATAAACATTTTAAAAGGACAGGAAAACCCAGCAGGTAAATATGTTGCTCATCAGGTTGTGCTCTGGCATACCAATCTACCGCTGGCTCTACAGCCTCCCCCATGACCTCGCCCTCCAAGGGCTCCAAGGCCAACCTGGGAATTTCCCAGGCTGATTGGCAGGTGGAGCTGCCCGCTGGGGTGGAACTGTGCCTGGTTTATGTCTTCCCCCATTGGAAGGTCTGGCTTTTTTGGCTGGCCACTATCTCAGTCCAGCCACTCCTGCTGCTGTGGCTTGGCCCAGCTTTGCTTGGACCCACCAAGGTACTGCTGCTGTTGGTGATGTCATTGGCTACAGCCCAGCCTCAGTGGGTTGGTGCGTCAGAGGAGAGGCCGTTCAAGGCTCCACTGCTGTTTGCCTTTTGCCACCTGGCTACAGTGCTGGAAAGTCTAGGGAGTGTCGTGCCACCCGTCAAGGAACTAAACAACCAGCACAAAACCTGCCACTTTAGGTCTATTTAAACAAGAGCCTCCACTCCCCGATACAGTATGAAACACTTAGAAACAGGACTCTCACAGGCAATTTATGAGAAAAACATTTTTGCTCAGCCCTGAAGCAACCAGCTAATCCCATACTACAACCAGCTAATCCCATACTACAGCCAGCAAATCCCATACTACAACCAGCAAATCCCATACTATAACCTAACCCATAACCTTAGTATCCAAATAAATCCAAAAATTCAGACCAAATGTCATGATGTTTCACATTTGTTTCTTGTCTATTAAAGGCAACTCTTTCTTGGACTGCAAGGTCTAACATTGCTTCAGTCCAGGTTTCAATGTGTGGCATATCTACTGCTTTCAACTTCTGAAGAATTACTCATTTAGCTATCAACGAGGCTTTTAAAGGTCTAGAGAGAAGGAATGTACCTCAATATGGCAGTATGTGGATTAAGATCCAGTGAATATTCTACTGTAAAATGATACCAGTTTTGGCCCTTGTCAGCCATATGGAAGATCTGCCTGTGATTTTGATATTATGGCTGCCCCACAGTGTCAATGGTATGTACGTACAATTATGTTCATTCGTTGCTCTTCAACAAATGTTTTAGCCAATTTCTATATTTTATTTCTATATTTTATTATGTGCACTGCATGCATTACTGCTTTTAAGAGATACCTTCAGGTTAGGTAGCCATGTTGGTCTGAAGCAGCAGAACGAAGTTTGATTCAAGGTATAAGCTTTCGTGTGCAAGCACACTTCTTCAGGTACGTATCTGAAGAAGTGTGCTTGCACACAAAAGCTTATACCTTGAATTAAATTTTCTTGGTCTTAAGGGTGCCACTGGACTCAAAATCTGATTTTAAGAGAAATACACTTGTGAGACTTTTGCAAGTTTAATTAACTAATGAAAACAACACATAATCATACTATTACTACAATGTTTAACCTCCCCCACACCTGCAAAGGAAAAAAAAATACCTTGTGCATGATATAACGGCAAAGAATATTGTTAAAAAATATGTGATGGAAAACAGAGGGATCACTTCCTTGGCATTTTTTTCAAATTCTTCCTGTCTGGATATGGAGGTAAAATAGGCCACCTGCCATGAGGGAAAAAAGAAGGACAATCACTTGTGAAATATTTTTTCTCTTAACAAAAGGTCTCAGAGAGAGAGAGAGAGAGTACAAGTTAGCAAATGTCAGTTATTTCTTAACTTGCTTAGGTAAAAATATGAAAGAACTGTTAATAATCTTCTTCTGACTAATCTGACCTCGATCCCTCAGCCATCAGGGCATAAAAGCACTCAGTCTTTGGGACAAGCTATATTATATAGGAGAGGTGGGAAATGACTGAAACACCAGATACATTATTAGGCATCTGTATTTGAGGACGGACAATACGTTTGGAGTTCTGGTGACATAGTTTAGCCCTCAGAACCAGGTGGAAATGGATCCAGAAATCTATGAGATTATCCTAGAGATCTAAATTTTCCATAAATTTTGAAACCATGGAAAAATGTTTTTCCCCTCAGAAAACAGGGATTTGGGAATAAATGTATGAAACAGAAGAAAATCTAAACTTATTTAACAACACAAAATGCATTGTTTATTACTTAGCATTAAAATGTGTACAATTTGGCATATTTACGAAATTTAAAAGTACAAATGCCATAGATTTTTACAAGCAAAATGTTGAGTATACCAGATACTAAAGAGAGAGACAGCACTAACAGCACTACTAGTCTTCCCAAAATGAAGGAAGAGTTATGACAGGGAACAATTTTTTAAAACTATTATTTTGAACACCTGGGGACCTATTACTAAAGTAAATGAGAGAGGCAAGAACAATAAAAATCTATTTATTTAAAACCCTTTTTAAAATAATCAGTCATAATTTTTTTACGTATTTATTTTCAAATAAATTACCCTAACTCTGACGTGAGTTGCTGCCAGCAAGTGGCCTACCAGAACTTGACCACTGCTACTGCTGGTGTAAGATTTACTTTAGTATAATACATACGTATCTTCATATGCGGTACTCATATTACATTCAGTAGCTAAAAAAAAGCAGATAGAGGGACAATGATAGAGACAGAGGTACAAACTGCTGTTTTATATGCTACCCTGCTATCTTTTGCTATCTGAGAGGCAGAAAAGAAAAATGAAAGCTGAAACATTAGGATCTGTGTTTTTTGTGGTTTATTCTTTGGGTGTGGAATTGATTTCCTAATGAGTTTGGGTGAGCCCCTATAAAGTTCCTGAGAATCCATGAGGATCCGGTACTTTGGATCATCATTTTTGAGCCTTAGAGGTGCCACAAAGAGGTGGACCCATTCTTTTTCTAGTGCAATCTGTTGCCATGGATGTGATATGTGATTTGTTGGTGACCCCACATAAAAATCATGAGGCTCGATGAGGATCTGTGATCTGGATCCATGTTTTTGCACTATGACAGTACCACAGAGTGATGGATCCATTAATTTTGTGGTGTAGTCTGTGGCCAAGGTTGTGATAAGTGATTTGTTAGAGAGTTTTGTGTGACCTTACTTTAAAATCATGCAGATCCATACTTTGGACACATTTTTGTGCCATGGTGGTGCCACATTGTGGTGGATCTATGGTTTTTTTGATGCAATCTGTGGCCATGGATGTGATGAGTGATTTGGTAGTGAGTTTGGAGTAACCCCACATCCTGAGGATTCATGAGGAAATCTGCTTTGGATCCACATTGTTATGCTATGAGTGTGCCATGAAGTGGTGGACATGTGATTTATGTGGTGTGCTCTGTGACCACAGATATGAGTGATTTGGTGGTGAGTTTGGAATGACCTAATGCAAAATTTCCATGATTCGGAACCACATTTTTTTCACCATGGCAGCACCACAAAGTGGTTGATGTGTGATTTTTTTCAGTGCAAACTGTGACCATGGACATGATATGTGATTCAATGATGAGTTTGGTGTGACCCAATGCAAAAATCCTGAGGATGTACACTTTGGAAATATGTTTTTGTGCTTTGACAGCACCACAAAGCAGTGGATCCGTGATTTTTTCAATGCAATGTGTGGCTGTGGATGAGATAGGTGATGTGATGGTGAGTTTGGAGTGATCCAACACAGAAATCATGAGGATCCATGAGGATCCCTGCTTCAGAACTATGCTTTGGCACCATCATAGCACCGTGAAGTGATGGATGTGTGATTTTTGTGGTGCTGCCTTTATACTAGTGGTTCCCAAAGAGGGCGCTATCATCCCCTGGGGGGGGGGGTTGTTGGAACTACTGAGGGGGTGCTAAAAGGCAAAGGTGTGGTAATGGGCATTCGAGGTAGGCCCTTCAACCATGTTGTTCTCTTATTTACCACAGACCAGACTAGAGCCTAGATGCTGGCAAATAGCACTCCAAGTTTCTGTCTCTGCATAGTGCTGAAATCTGGTGGAAACTATAGGGATTTTTAGTCAATACGCCAGCAGAGCTCTAGTCAGACCACTGTCCTACGTTGTGAGGAACTGTCATCACCACGTGTGTTTCTGCTGGTGAGACTTAACACCTGGGGACTATTATGTTATGTTAATAGTTTTGAGTGTGGTATTTAATAAAATTAAAACCCATTGTCTCCATGATTGACTATTCTGGGAGCTCAATGGTGAGGATGATGAAGATTTTGAACATTTGCTGCTTCATATTGAAGTTTCTTGGATATCAAAAGGCAACTGCATGAGATGCTTTTACAACTTGTCTTCAAAGACAGGCATCCTTTGGTCCATTATGAACTCAAAGAGATCAGGCATGACACCACTTATTTATCAGAACTATTTCCAAAGTTCAATGACATGAATTTGAAGTAGCAAGGAAATGAGATCAATCTTATTAAACCCAAATCTGCCATGCTCTACATTTATTTCAAAGTTAACTCTATTCAAACACAATACAGACCATTGCAAGTGATACCAATTTTCAAGCCTGTCTGAGCTAGAAGAGAAAGTTGGGGTACAAGATCATGATCTGCCCAGATTCTGGTCACTTCCAGGGGGCCTGACCCTGAAGAGAGGGCAATGGGGGAAGCTGGGGGAAGCTCACCTCCAGGAAATTCTTTATGAGACCAGCCAGGGAGGGCCAGAGCAACCCCAAGAAGCCGCAGGAGATGCAACTGGTAGGAGGAAGTGAGATAGGAGAAAGAGAGGCATCAGGGTGAAGGCAAAAATCCTAACTATAATTGATGGGGTCCGAACTGGCAGAGGCTGACCAAGAGAGAGATCTTGTAGTAGATAACTCAATAGAAATGTCGAGACAGTGTGCGACTGCAATAAAATAGGCCTACGCTATGCTGGGGATTATTAGGAAGGGAATTGAAAACAGATCAGCCAATATCATAAATGCCCCTATATAAATCAATGCTGCGACCTCATTTGGAATACTGTGTGCAGTTCTGGTCACCACACCTCAAAAAGAATATTATAGCATTGGAAAAAGTGCAGAAAGGGGCAACTAGAATGATAAAAGGGTTGGAACACTTTCCCTATGAAGAAAGATTAAAGCGCTTGGGGCTCTTTAGCTTGGAGAAATGACGGCTGAGGGGTGATATGATCGAGGTTATAAGATTATGCATGGGATAAAGCAGGTCGAGAAAGAAGTACTTTTCTCCCTTTCTCACAATACAAGAACTCATGGGCACCCAATGAAATTGCTGAGCAGTCGGGTTAGAACAGATAAAAGGAAGTACTTCTTCACCCAAAGAGTGATTAACACATGGAATTCACTGCCACAGGAGGTGGTGGAGGCTACAAGCATGGACAGGTTCAAGAGGGGATTAGATAAAGATATGGAGCAGAGGTCTATCAGTAGCTATTTAGCCACAAGGTATAGATAGGAACTCTCAGTCTGGGGCAAGTGAGGCACTGTATTCTTGGTGGTTGGGGGGGGGACAGTGGGAGGGCTTCTAGTGTCCTGGCCCCACTGCTAGACCTCCCGATGGCACCTGGTATTTTTTACGACTGTGTGACAGAGTGTTGGACTGGATGTGCCATTGGCCTGATCCGACACTGGCTTCTCTTATGTTCTTATGTTTTTAAGGCAACCCCTCCTTGCCTTTCAAGCCCTTCCATCGCACTCAGAATTTACTGAACACTGAAGTAATTAATAAACTGAGTATCAAATATTCTTACTGAGAGGGAAGGCGGTATGGTCAGATCTTGGAAGCTAAGAAGGGTTGGTATTTGGAAGGGAGACCACCAAGGAAAACTCTGCAGAGAAAGGCGATGGAAAACTACCTCTGTTTCTCACTTGCCTTGAAAGCCTCTTGCTGGGGTCACCAGACTTGACAACACTTTACACACAGACACAAGATTCTTGCTTAAATGGCTATCAGACGTTGAAAAGTTGGTATTATTGGACTGAGTCCATCAATTTTGTGGAATAAATTAAACTACAAAGATTTAATTGGATTTTGAATAAATTTGCAATTAACTTACTATCTTGAATTTTACTGTTATTATCTTCCTTAGTGGGTTCTGTAAATCACTATTCTAAATGCTTTTTACAGGGTAGGGCAGAGTACATTGGGGATAAGTTTATGGAACTGGGGTGGGTGGGTGGCGCAAAAAAATCTGGGATGGTGATTTTCTATTGTTTCAATGTAAGTGTCAAATTAATTCATGTGAATCCATTTAAAAATCATCTAGATCCAACTTTTACCCTTTCCATCAAGCAACAAAGGCTTAGACATGTCAGTTTATTACTAGGAAGGGTCATTTCTCAAGAATACCCCTCTAGGACTGCAGAATCTGCTTTAGTGAGTTCCTATACTATTCAGTACAATGCAAACAATTAAAACATTGTTTTCTCAAATTCATAAACGTGGGTGCCCCCTCTCATCTCAACAGTTCCCATCTCTTTGACAGACATCATGCAGAAATTCTTGACTATAACTGTATGCTCTCAACATACACAAAAAGAACAACACAGACATCATGCAGAAATTCTTGACTATTACTGTGTGCTCTCAACATACACAAAAAGAACAACAGCAACAAAACAATGGTGCAATTGACTGTTACACTGCACATTTTTTTAAATTTAATTGTTTTTTTCTTTCAAATTTTCCATTTTTCAATCATAACCAAACTCAAACTTGATCCAATATTAACTAAAATTAGCTCATAATCTTACATTTCCCCCCCAAAAAATAATACAATCTATAAAACAAACTTTTCTTCTCTTTAACCACATTTTGGTACAACAAACTAATAAAATATACCATCTCTTGATACAGAGGATTGTTAGGTATAATATTGTTTTCTGCCATATAACTGATCGAGGGAAACAATAAAGCTACAATTTTTGTACTAACTTTATGTAGGAAGGTTTGAGGATTGAAAGGCAAGTTTACTTAAAATAAAATATTTTCCAAATTTTAGAGAACCATTGTTGGATAGCGGTAATATTTTTTCTAACATTTTTTTTAGATATTACTGTTTTTGCTGCTGTCAACAAAATGTCAATAAGTTCCAATTTTTGTGTTCTTTCTAGTGTGTAGCCTTTTATTCAAGATAATCATTTCTGGTATAAAATCTAGATCAACTCCAGTTATATCGTTTATGTATCTGACAATTTGTTTCCAAAATTCCTGAACGAACTGACAGTGCCACCAACAGTGTATAAAGTCTGCTTTAAGTCCACAGTTTTTTTCTGCAATACGGACTAAAGTCCTTTTTAATTTGGTGTAAGGTAGTGGGTGGCATGTACCATCTGGTTAGCACTTTTAATGACTGTAATCTTACTGTGAATATTTTTGAAGTTATACCAAATGAATTCCAGATTAACTTCTGATCGTCCTCTGTTATTCTATTGTTTAAATGCATCTGCCATTATTTTTGGTATAGCATTAATGAAAATTCTTCAGTTTTGTTTAGCGTTTTGTATAATTATGTGATCAAGCCTGGTAATTGTTCGCCTTTGTTATTTAAGAAACTTCTACACATTTCACAACTTGCTTTGTCAGGGTGTCTGAAAGCATACTGATCCCCAAAGCCTTCCCCACTCAAAATGTGTAGAAGTTTTAATTTTTTAAAAAATAAATTACTTTCTCGCCGCACCATCAGGTTTTCTGGGGCTTTTTTTGTTTGTTGTGGTGACTAGTGTGGCCCTCTTTTTCCGGGTTATGGGCATTCAGCCTGATGCCACACAAAAAGTTCTCTGTACTGAAGCACTAATCCAACACTGACTCTGGAAAAAATAGTGGAACAAAATGTAATATGTTCCCAAAACAGAGCCCCAAAATACTGAAAAATAGGTGCAATGATACTCCACAATTTGGTCATAGATGTGTTCTGTCTCGTCTGATTATTATTACAACAGGAGGTTCCAGTTGCTGGAAAGAAGTGCTGCAGCGGCGTTTTGCAGGAGCTTATTTTATATTTTATTTCTTATTTATATGCATATTCTTTTCTTCTCCTCTTCTCTGTTTTAGATAGGAATTCTTTTTTCTTGTCTGTTGTTTAATTATCTTACCTGATGTTTTAGGGAGTTATCTCATAGAACCAAGTTTGAGTCCAGTGGCAACTTTAAGACCAACAAAGTTTAATTCTGGGTATCAGGTGATGAAGTGTGCATGTTCACGAAAGTTTATACCCAGAATTAAACTTTGTTGGTCTTAAAGTTGCCACTGGACTCAAACTTTGTTCTATTGCTTCAGACCAACACGGCTACCCTTCGTGCGTTCCCCCCTCCCAGCTGATGCTTTGATAATACTGGCCTTGAGAAAAGCAGTTCTGTTGTTTGAGATTTAACACTTAGCTATTTTAATGTACAATTAGATAGGATTAATAAATTAATCAATTTTAAGGTTGAGCTGTAACCTATTTAACCTTAACTTTAAACCCATTCAATTTTAACCCCTTTTAATCCATTCAGTTTTATCTTAACTGTATTTATTTTATTTTTATTTTGCTTCCAATTGTTTCATTTTCTTAACTATTCTTAACTGTTTCCAATTGTTTTATTTTCTTAATTATTCTTTTAACTATTTTAGGATATTCAGTAGTGCGGCTTAATTTAAATTAATTATAGAAACAGAAACTAGAGAAATAAAAGTGTATATTAATTTTAGACTGAAGGTCCTCTATCACTCTTATATTTTAGCATTTGAGTATTAACCGTATTAACTTTTAATTTGGCTGTTTTAATGTAAGGATATTTTATTATAAGACAAGGGAAGAAAGAGTAGTTGGTAAGGTGGGAAAAGGGAGCGAAGAGGAAGGGGAAGAGGTTGGAGGCGCTGAAAGGGGTAGAAGAGGAAAAATGAGAGGAACGGTTGAAACAAAAGAGGAAAGGAAATCATATTTAAGATAATTGGTCTTATTGGTTCACAACCACGAGACGAAGAGAGGCTGTCCCTTTGATCCTATAAACTCCCCTTTATCTAAACAGAGTAAACAAGATGATTTCTTTAGTTTTGGGTTAAAAACCTCTAATAGATTCCAGGCTTTACACGATGAACAGCTAAATAATGTCCTAGATAAAGATAAGGAAATGTCCTGCCTTAATGAGGACTCTACATTAAATTTAATCTCCAGCGTCGGATTTACACTATCTGATTGTGCCTGTTTAGGAGGAGGAAAGCACACAGATCCTAAACAGAAGTAATTAACCTTCTTAGTTCACAAACATTTTTGATTGCTGAGATGCTTGAGAAAATCTATGAGAAGATTAATTGGCTTGGGGAGCAATCAGTTTTTAACCCTAGTCCTATAAATAATCGCCCTAAGAAAAGTGAATCTATTCCTTGTGCTAGTAAAGACACATTAGTGGGCTCAGGCCCTTCAGTCTTTCCTTTTCCTTCACCGTCTATGCAATTAGACCCTTGTAAAGTTTTTCTGACCATTTACCCATACCAGGGCAGAGTAATACCCTGGGGCAATAAACGGCAGGTAAAGGAACATCTAGGGTTTCTGTTAAATCTTGATCTAAGAGCTGAAGATCTTAAACATTTCGACAGATTGCTGAGTTCCTTCTTGAAACTTTCTTTCTTCTAAGAGTCTTTCCTGAATCCTGAATAACTAGCAATGGTTTGGTCCTTACCCAGTCCTCCCTCAGAGATGCTTTTACAACCCAGCTCTAGCCCCTCTTGTTCCTTCAGAGTAAATCTTGAGGAGGGGGGGGGACCCCAAATTGCTTCTAAGCAAGTAGAATTTTTGGTCCATAATGAATTTGCAAGCTATCCACTATGGGTGAAATCCCAATCTTGAATCTATTACAACAGGCTTATCCAAAGCAGCGAGGACCAGGATGTCTCACAAACAGCATTGAACACAAGTGTTCTGTACTGATGAATGGCAAAACACTGCAGAAGCATTTAGAAGCATATAAAAACAAAGATTAATCTGTAAATCAAACTACTGATGAATCAAAACCCTCTGTGCGGGGCACACATGTACATGAAGATTTTTCTTATCAGTCCTTACTGGATCACAAGCATGAACCCTGGGGATCCAGTACAAAAGCCAGAGGCCACAGCATGGGGGGGGGGGATATAGGTAACGTACAGGAGGCATACCTTATGGAAACAATTCCTAAAATAGTCTATTTATTTATTTAATTAGACTTTTAGCCCTCCCTCCCCTGCCCAGCAAGGCTCAGGGCGGGTAACAAGTTAAAAACAATATCATAAACTACTCACAAGTAAGTCTCATGCAGTCACTGGGGTTTCCTCCCCCCAAAGTGTCCTGCAACCTCAATCTCTATGTAACCTGTGAAGTGGTCACACTTACCCGCACGGAGGTGAGGTTCAAGTCGCCCAACAGGACGGGGATGCGCTCCAGGAAGGTCTTCAGCCACTTCGAGCTGGCTTCTCGCTGCGCGGGATCGTCTTCTCGCAAGTAATAGTAGAGGCGCAGAGCCTTGGCGGCCCGGACGGGGCGGCTCCGGTCTTCCGCCGCTCCAGGCTCCACCGAGACGCCCCCCAGGGAGGCGCCCAAGAAGAAGCGCCCCTGCCAGAGCGGGAAGGTCAGATTGGGCAGCAGCGCCTCGATGCGCGCCGGGTCGCCGCCGACGGCGCTGAGCAGCGGGTTGGGGCTGCTGCAGGAGCCGTTGCGGCGGGCGCAGACCTGGCGTCGTGCGTCTGGAAGCGCTCCCGCACCAGGCGCCGCTCGGCCTTGGCTGGTCCCTCGCGGGGCGTGAACTGCGTCTCGATGTCGTTCGACTGGCGGATGGGCAGCAGCGTGAAGCCGACCCCCAGCGCGGCCGAGAGCAGCAGGGGCAGCAGCAGGAAGGGCCACGGGTGGGCGCCCACCAAGCCCCCCAGGCGCCGCAGCACGCCGGACAGGGGCCGCTCCACGCAGTCCGTCCGGCACCTTCCGTCCCTGCCGCACATCGCGTCTTCTTTTTTGGAAGCCGGGGAGAGGCGCTGCTGCTCCTGACCCCCGCCGGGTAGGGAAGGAGTCCCGCGTAGACTCAAAGAGGGTGGCTGCCAGCGTTCTTCCGTCGACGGCACAGGGCGGGAGGCCCACAGGACAGGTCCTCTCAGTAACGCTGCTAGGCAATGCCGCTGGCCTTTGGCATCGTCACCAAGGAAAAACAGCTATCCAGGAAGCCAGTGTTCCCTCTAAGATGAGTTAGTGTGAGCCAGCTCACAGTTTTCTAGTTTCTGGCTCATACATTTTTGTCTTAGCTCAGGAAGGATGGCTCCAGGGCAAAGTAATTTATGCAGTAGCCAAATCACTCGCTCACAACTTTAATGCCAGTAAGCTCACAAAGTAGAATTGTTGCTCACAGGACTCCACAGCTTAGAAGGAGCATTGCAGGAAGCTCTCTAAATCTGTGTTGCCAACCAACTGCACCATTACTTACCATTACAATGTAGTTTCCCTGAATTCAGCCTGCTAATCCCAATGTTTATTCATGTCTGTTTAAAATATATATATATGCACTTCCACAACTAAGGCAGTTTAAACACCTGACCTGCAGAATAAAACCAGCAAATCCTGACCTGGATGGCCCAGATAAGCCTAGTCTTGTCAGATTTGGGAAGCTAAGCAGGGCCAGCCCAGGCTACTATTTGGATGAGAGACGTCCAAGGAATACCAGGGTTGTGACGCAGAGGCAGGCAATGGCAAGGCACCTCTGAACGTGCCTTGCTTTCAAGCCCCACTAGGGGTTGCCAGAAGTCAGCTTGACTTGATGGCAAGAAAGAAATGTAGAATAAAACCAGCAAGAGTTCCTAGGAGAATCTGAGATGCAAACGGACTCATAATGTATGTATTATACATAATGTATTAGGTACTGAAATACTGCTGAGGAAACCTCCAGGTTGAAATATGTTTAACTTTAGTATGTTAATGTGGTACACTTTAAATATTATAAATGTGTTAATTATGTGGTTGGAGGAAAAATCCCCTCCAGCTCAAGGAATGGCTCACTATCCAACACCTGTTGCATTTCATGTTGGAGTGTATAGGCCCATTTTGGATTAATACTGGGTGTAATTTCAGCATGGGTTATTGATATCCCACAGTCCCACAAGACTTCAAAAATACAAATAGAATATAAGTGATTGGTGGTCACTTTCTGGAATTCAGAATGCAGTGTATGGTGCCTGAAGGAGCCCACCACCAAGCCACCAGCCAAGCCCTCAGCGGGCAACCGCCCCCCCTCCTCATCGCCATCGGGAGAGAGGGCGGCGGCCCAGAAAGGGCTTTTGGCAGGGGTGGGCTTTTGGCGGGGGTGCAGTTTGGCGCCCCTAAGGGCCGGCCCGCCCTAGGCGAACGCCTAGTTCGCCTAGTGAGTGAGCCAGCCCTGAGTGTATCATCACAAAGAGATTATGATATTAATATACAGTCAAACACTCTGGCACCCTTTTGATTATAATAAGTGAATTCCTCATATTTATTTCTGTTTGTGTGACCATTTAATATGACAAAACTGAGCTTGTTGATCAGTTGGTTGAAAATTACCCCAGGTTTATTAACCAAGAGTCTTTTGTATTTCTCCTACCATTATAGACGTCAGTGTCGTAATCATTTCCCCTAACCCTTAAATTGCCACACCCAATGCGAGCACTGAAGTCACCTAACAATATTAGTTATGCCTTGGGGTATTTCACAAATACTAAGCAAGGCTGTGCAGAGAAAGACGCTAAAGTTGCATAAAGCTAATGTATTAAAGAACAAAATTCATACAATGTCACATATATTATCAAAATATGATTTGTTCAATATTTTCTATGATACAATGAATTTCATATAAATCACACAAGTGAATCCAACAGGTACAGGTAAGTCAAACAGGTAAGTCAAACAGGAACAGGAATGAAGGTTCCAGATATTAATAACGTCGTTTTGATGGTCTTCTTCAGTAATGACTATGCTATGCATGATCTTAGCCATAAGGCCGAGAAGTGAAACAAGCATTTTGTATAGTCCTAAGCTCCAATGCATTAATGTGCAGCATAGCTTCCCTAGGTGACCAAGCACCACTAGCAGTAAAAAAACCCGCAATGGGCTCCCCAACCCAAAAGGAATGCATCAGTAAACACATGTACTTTCCCCATAGGGACACCTTTCAGAAGATTCCCTAGGTCAGACCCCCAATGAATGTGTCTTGGGATAGATTAACCCAAAGGAAGTCAACACCTGGAGAAAATTGTTGTGAGAACCAATTCTGCAAGGGCCTCATAAAAAGGCATGCATGGGGACTCACCTCAGTTGTAGAGGTCATGTAGCCCAACAACCTTTGAATACCCTTCGCAGACTGGAATCTGCAGGAGAGGAATCTCTGGGCCAATTTTGAAAGTGCAGAAGCTCTGTGTGAAGGAAAGTATGCCATTCCAGTGACCGAGTCAAGTCTGGCTCCTATAAACTCAAGGTCCTGAGAGGGGGTCAGGTGGGACTTCTCATTGTTAATTATAAATCCCAAATCGTGTAGCACTTCCAAGGCCAGTTGTATGCTGCACGACAAGGCATCTGGGGAATTACCCACAAAGAGCCAATCATCTAGATAGCGATAAAGAACACAACCCTGAAGTCTCAAATAAGAGACTACCATGGAAATACATTTAGTGAACACCCTAGGGGCAGTAGAAAGGCCTTTAGAAACTTATTCAAATTCCGTAGGTCCAAAATGGGTCGCATTCCACTGCCTTTTTTCTTGATCACAAAAAATCGAGAAAAGAACCAAGACTGTACGTCATCATGGGAAACCTCAGAAATCGCTCCTTTACCCAACAACATAGCCACTTGTTCATCCAGAAAGGATGTTACTACAGTGGTTGCCGTAGTAGGAGTATTACCTGTGGGAAGTGATACAAACTCCAAACAGTAACCGTATTTTATTATGTTCAGCACCCAACTATCTGAAGTAATCAACAACCAAGAATGTAAGAACATTGAAAACTGGTCAGTAAAGGCAACTGTATTGGCTAGTCATTGTGTCCCTTGGGACTTCGAACTCTGTTCCCTAGCAGAACCAGAGGCACCAGTGTAACCATTTCGCCCCCTAGATTGTCTTCCCTGTTGGTGAGATGTAGAATAGTGGGGTTTTAGAGATGATCGATTTGAAGAAGGGTACCTATTATCATTATAACGAAAAGGTCTGGAATAATGGTACCTATTGTACCCTCTATTGTAATACCTGGGTTTGTATGGTGCAGGAGTGCCCGGGGTTATCCCCAAGGATTTAGCTGTAATTCTATATTTGCACATATTATACAGAGTATCATCCGTCTGGGTGCTAAATAGATCCTTGTCTTCAAATGGGAGGTCTTCCACAAGGGATCTAGTGTCAGCTGGTAAGGCTGAAGAGCGTAACCAAGAATGGCGCCTCAAAACGCCAGTACCCGGTGCTCGATTATTGCAATCGGCCATATGTCTAGCAGCATTAAGCTGTTGTTTTGCCATCTTTGTGCCATCCTGTACCAGGGCATTTGCCACGGGCTGCCTGTCATTTGGTAAAGAGTCGAGAATCGGCGCCAATTTGCCCCACAGCACTACTTGGTACGCAAACGTGGATACTCTGAGGCCCATGGACCCAGAAACCTTTTGACCCATCAAATCTAACTTTCTCCCCTCCTTATCCATAGGGGTAGAGTGAGAGCCAGAACGTCCCCTGGCCGGGAGGACAGCTGCAACCATAGAGTTTGTTTTAGGATGCTCAAAGAGATAAGAGTAGGTGTCTTCTTTTAGTTTATATAGATTCTCAAGTTTCCTTGAGGAAGCAGGTGCTAAAGCTGGTTTATTCCAGACTTCAAAGGCTACATCCTGTATTCCTTTTATAAAAGGTAAGGCAACTGCACCAGAATCAGGGTTACACAAAACATCCATAATAGGGTTGTCACATTTGGCATCAACAGATATAGTCAATGTTCAAAACTTTAGCCATCCTTATAATCTGCTCTGAATAGAGCTTGATGTCATCTGCAGAAGAAGGCACAAAAAACTGGGCAATAGTGCCATCTGGTGTTCTTCATGGAGCTCTTCACAGTCAGCTTTGGTTTTCAATCACCATCCTGAATAATTTTATGTCATCTGCAAACTTGGCCACTATACTACTCACCCCCAGTTCCAGATCATCTCCCTTGCAAATAAAAGCCGAATGGTGGTGGCACTTCTCTAGAACATTCCACACGCTCCAAAATCAGTTCGCTCTCTGATCTGTCATTCAGAGGGTCTCCCTATCCACTGGCTGCTTTGCCTGAGTCCTGCCTCCAACATTCTAAACATTTTGCTGTTCCTCTCCCCCTCTATAAAAAGCTATCATCCATGAATTGCCCATAAGGTACTATGTGTGAAAGAGCAGTTGTTTTGCGAAAGCGGATAAAACATTTACTGATGAAGCTTGTCTACTATTTTAGGGATAAGACGAATTGGCAGAAGGCCTGATCAGCAGCAGCCTCAGGGAGATGGCAAACCTATTGAGAGGAGGCAAGAGAGACGACCTCCTCGTGAGCGGCGATTTGACAAACCTGCTGAAGAGAAGGGTGAAGGAGGAGAATTTTCTGTTGATAAGTAAGAATAATTTATGGGTTTTAAAAAAATGGAATGGTGGCTTTAGCAAACTAGCAAATAAACTTGCAGTTTCACTTTGGTTTACAATAGACCTGTTATTGATCGCCCGATGCGTGGCCGTGGTGGTCCAGGTGGAAGAGGTGGTCGTGGTGGCAGAGGACGCGGCATGGGCAGAGGAGATGGCTTTGACTCTAGAGGCAAACGTGAATTTGATCGACATAGTGGAAGCGACAGATCGTAAGTCTTAGACTTGAGACTTTTTCCCTTTGAAAATACATGGCATCTCTGCAGTACTTTTCAAATTTACCTTTGAATTTCTGTATCCTGACAGTATTATGTTAACTCAGTTTTGTTAGTTCTCTTTCACATTCAC